TTTTTTTGGTGAAAATAGACATAGCCAAAGTTAAACCATTTCAAAAGTTTCTACATGTACAATTCAGTGACACTGATTACATTCTTCCAGTTATGCTGCTATTCTCACTATCCTTTTCCAAATTATTCCATCACCATTATCTTCAACTCACTGTCTTGGACACTGTTTTTGAAAGGATTCTGAAATTTAACCTAGTGTCACCTGTATCATTAGGTGCTTTCACACACCTTTCATTTATTTCCCTGGCTCCGACTCTTCTCTTGGAGTTCTCCAAAGGGTTTCTTTCCAAATTCTGTATTGTAACTCTCTGTATTGTTAACTGTTGAGCGGCTCTTCCTTTCTGAACATTAGAGCTTTTTTCTCCCAGTGTTGTAACATCACAGTTACATTCTCATCTTCTTTCTGCACTGGACCCCTGGTTTCACATGCGTGCAGGACAGCTACCCATGTGCTTTCCCAGTCTTCAACCTCAGTTTCAGAAATAGGAGTTAACTTCCAAAATAACAGTCTTCCTCTGTCTTCCCATTTTTGTTATGGTTGGTACACTTCTAGTCCTGTATCCTTGTGTCTGTGGACTCACCTTGAATACCCTTGCCTCTCATTCTCCTATACAGATGTTCCTCCTGTTTCTGTTATCCTTTGAAAAGTGTATTTTTATAGCTCTTGTCTTCTCAAGTTTCACCCGGACTAAAAAACCAAAAAAACCAAACCCATTGCCGTTGAGTCCAACTCATAGTGACCACATATAGGACAAAGTAGAACTCCCCTATAGGCTTTCCAAGGAGTGGCTGGTGGATTTGAACTTCCGACCCTTTGGTTAGCAGCTGAACTCTTAACCATTGTGCCACCAGACTAGTCCAGTATTATGTCATCCTGGGACAGCTCTAATAGCTGCATTTGAGAATTCTAATCTTCTCCTTTGATGTTGTTTAGCATTTTTTGAGTCCATCTTACCTGAGAAACATACATATCATTCTTGTATCAGGATGCTTTAATTTGAAAATCCATGATGCAGCCAGAGTTAAACAATAAAGAATTTATAATCATAAATGACAAATGTCTGCTGTACAGCAGCTCTACAGTGACTTAATTCAGAAGCTTGTTCATGTCGGGAATCAAGATTCTATCTCCCCACTTTGTCATCCTCAGTTGTTACTATTCTCCTTGAACTCCCTTCAGCATCATCAGGTAGGTGCCTCAGTTCCAGGCATCACATGTAGACAAAATAGGAACCAGTGGAATAAGTTCTATTTTTTTCCAAAAAATCTCTTTTGTCAGTGACCAGAATCTTTCCTAGAGGCCTGCCAGCATGCTTTCTGTAAAATTCACATGCTGTCATCCCCTAAGCCAGTCAGAGTATGTGCTGCCCTAACCTGATGTGCCCTGGGGCTCTGAGAGTGGTACCCTCCTCTGGGATGGATAACCTCATAAAATCAGGCTACTTACAAAGAAGAAGAAAAATGGCTTTGGGTAGGGAATGAACTGTGTGTGTTATGGTCTACCCCATGAGATATTCAACACACCTTGCCCTTCTTTCCACTGTACATGTTCAGAAATGCTCACCTTAACATGAAACATAATATCCTTTCCCCAAAGGGAGGCAATGCATGTTCTCATCCTGGACCTGAATCCACTTTCAAGTCCAGGATCTCTTGGATCTCCTGGGATGTGTGCAGGACTGTCAGACTTGACTTGAAGGTATGGATGAAGCCTTTGTGATGTGAGTTCAGATATAGTTAAAAGACAAGTTGTTTATTCCAAACACAGTAGTAGGGAAGGAACAGGGACATTATAATAGATACTCTTCGTTCCAGAAGGGAAGGAAGGAAAACAACCATGATTCCTGGTCCACTGCACCCCTCATCTACTTAAAAGAAAAAGACTGTTGCCCTAGCATTGTTGTCATTTTCTTGGTTGGCCAGTTTTGCAGTCCCTGGTTCTGCTCTCTAAAACGATCTCCTTGCCCATTGACCAGTATGGCTCCTGGTCCTCCTCTGAGAGGATCTACCTTTCTCTTGTTTTCCGTTGCTACATCTGAGATCAGCTTTGAACAGCCTATTTCTGTTGGAGTCACTTTGGGGGCATTGAGGGTTGAAGAGTCATAGGTTGTTATCAGACCAGGACTGGGGTTCCCTCAAATACTTACTTAGTAGGCTTCCGGACATTATTCTTTTTTTTCTGATCAGTACTGTTAAGCCAATAATGGCAACCCAAAGTCTTGTCTACACATGGTCCTTAAGCCTGAGGATTCCTCTCTTCTAGCCACTGGCCTTTGTGTTCTTTTCACCTTTCATTCTTGCATTTTGTAGCTTTGGCTTTCAGGCCCAGACCATAACCTGAATCATGTCACCACCCCTGGAAAGAGAATGTTTAGCAGAAGTACTAAGAAAGTAGAAAACCTACTGAATATCCTACCACAGTAATCTTGTAACGAGATGATTAAGATGTACAAATGCCATCCAAATGTAGACTTTCTGCTGTTTTCCTTTGACCCCCTTGTCTATTACCTCATCATTATATTACTGTTTGGGCCTTGTAGATGTCCCTTCCCATTCTCTCTGCACCGCTTGCCTAACCTTATATGTATGTGGCTTCAGGGCTCAGCTTTAGTTTCCTTTATCTGTACTTGCTGCATAGATAATCTCATCCAGGCTCATGTCATTTAACACCTTTTATATGTTGTTGTACTCCTATCTTTCCCTGAGCACAGAACTTAGATCCAACTTTCCTATTTGCTGTCTCCATTTGGATGTGTAACTGATCTCTCAAATGTAATAAAATCCGAGACAAAGTCCTTGATTTTTCCTCCATTTTTCTGTCCAGTGCTTTCCACCTCTAAAGAGTAGCACCACCTTGTTGCTCAAGCCTAAAAACTAGGAGTTATTCTTTTCCTTTTCTCAGCTCCCACATTCAGTCCCTCAGTAAATCTTTTTAGTTCTATCTCCACATATGTTCCAAATTTCCTAAACTCCAGATGCATAGTCCAAATGACTAACATTTCAAGCTAGACTACTACAGTGGCTTTCTTATCTGTCTATGCCCTTAATCGTTTTTTACATAGCAACCAAACTGATCTTTTAAAAACAAGACACGTCAAGTTCTCCTCTAATTAAAATCCTTTGGATAAAATGAAAACATTTTACCATGGCCTTGTATAATTTGGTTCCTGCCTTCTCTTTCTTCATTAGTGAGTCTTAGGTATTCTGGCATTTTTTTCTCTTAACCATGCCAAGCAGGTTCCCACCTCAGGAACTTTGTACTTGCTGTTCCTTCTGTTTGAGATGTTCTTGCCCTTAATTTTCTTACGGCTTACTCATTCTCATTTTTATGGTCTTATTATTTTCACCCTTCCTAAATGTCATACCCTAGTTTTTCTGACTTGTGAATTCACTTCTTAGGTAAGTCTGACAATAACAACATTCTGATGTAAAATAATGGGCAGTTGGCTCCTGGGTGCAAGCCAAATATTTTAAACCTCAGTTTTAAACACTAAAAGCCATTTTTGGTCATTGGTAATTCAGTACTCATGTGCATGGGGGGAATTGTTTTGGTTCAGTTCTATGCATTCCCCTTGCTCCCTTGCCTACATGGTGTGTCACGTGCACTTGGCCAATGTTGCTTTTTAACCAGTGTTGAATACCTGTTGCCAAAAGAAAAAGAGTTCCTACATGGCAGTTCTCAAGTTCTTTAATTTCATATCAGGTTCATGTTATGATTCAAAAAGTATGGCTTCTTTTCTTTCTAGAAGGCTGGGAAGAATGGTACCAGAAAAATCAAGATGAGCTTCAAAGTATTGAGAAAGGTTATGCTTGCAGTTCATTTGGGAAACTTCATCTGAGCACAAACCATGTTTCTTCAAAACAAAGACTCCCTAAGTATAACACATATGGAAAAAGTTTGACACAAAACTCAGGTTTATCCAGAAACTACGTAAGGAGGAATCCAGATAAGTTTCATGGATATGAAGAATCTTATTTTTTTAAGCACCAAAGAGCTCATACAGTAGAAAAAAACTGCATATGTAGTGAATGTGGGAAAGCTTTTCGTTGTAGATCACAGCTCATTGTACATCTCAGAATTCATACAGGAGAGAGACCTTATGAGTGCACTAAATGTGACAGAGCCTTCAGTGCCAAGTCAAATCTTAATGCCCATCAGAGAGTCCATACAGGAGAAAAACCCTATGCGTGCAATGAATGTGGGAAAGTCTTCTCTTTCAGGTCACAGCTCATTGTCCATCAGGAGGTTCACACAGGAGGGAAACCCTATGGTTGCAGTGAGTGTGGAAAAGCCTATAGTTGGAAGTCACAGCTTATTTTACACCAGAGAAGTCATACAGGAGTGAAACCCTATGAATGTAGTGAATGTGGGAAAGCCTTTAGTTTGAAGTCACCATTTGTTGTGCACCAGAGAACTCATACAGGAGTGAAACCCCATAAATGCAACGAATGTGGGAAAGCCTTTAGGAGTAAGTCATACCTGCTTGTACACATCAGAATGCATACAGGAGAGAAACCTTATCATTGCAGTGACTGTGGGAAAGCCTTCAATATGAAGACACAACTTGTCGTACATCAGGGAATTCACACAGGAAATAATCCGTATGAATGCAGTGAATGTGGGAAAGCTTTTGGTAGGAGGGAACAGCTCACTGCACATCTGAGAGCTCATGCGGGGGAGAAGCCCTATGGATGCAGTGAATGTGGGAAAGCTTTCAGCAGCAAGTCATACCTCGTTATACACAGGAGAACACATACAGGCGAGAGACCCTATGAATGCAGTTTCTGTGAGAGAGCCTTTTGTGGGAAATCACAGCTCATTATACATCAGAGAACTCACTCAACAGCAAAGCCGTATGAATGCAATGAATGTGAAAAAGCCTATCCTAGGAAGGCATCGCTTCAGATACACCAGAAGACTCATTCAGGAGAGAAACCTTTTAAATGCAGTGAATGTGGAAAAGCCTTCACTCAGAAGTCATCCCTTAGTGAACACCAGAGAGTTCATACAGGAGAGAAACCGTGGAAATGCTCTGAATGTGGGAAGTCCTTCTGTTGGAATTCAGGGCTTCGTATACATCGGAAAACTCATAAGTGAGAAACCAGAATGAAGAAGCGAATGTTAGAAGCATTCTCACAGAAGCTGATCCTCAGGAGACTTCAGATGATCATATAGAAAGGATATACAAGCAGGAAGTCCTACAAATATACTCAGATAAGTTATATATTTGGAATATGTGTGTAAAAGCTTTCAAAAGTCATACAAATCTTTGTAGGTTAATAATAATTGAGCAGTAAATGTACCAAATGTAGTAGCATCATTATGAAGATGTAATTCGGAAAATTCATCCTGAGAACACCTTAAAAATTAATGAATTGGAAAAGCATTTTCCCACAGAAGGTGTGTTACATGGGAAGTCACGTTCCAGATTTGAAGCTGTGTTTTTATAAAGACTGAATAAAATCTCAATTATAAGTGGTAATTTTTTTCATGAATAGAGTGTAAAGTTGTTCTTTTTTTTATGTGTAAATAAAGTAATGGTCAGGAAGACACCAAGGAACATATTCTGAAAATTAAGGGATATTTGATACTTTCCAGCATAACGCTAAATAGCATTTGAAAAAAATTTTGGTATTTTTGTAATGTAAATTGTTATACATATATTTGATAGTTTGTGGAATAACATCCACCAATGTTGTCTATATTAAATGCTAAATATCAGCATTGTCTTTTTATTTCTTAGTAATATAACTTATAACTAAAATAATATGGCTTATAACAAATGAAAGGATACACTTTCACTCAAAATAATTTATCTCTTGTTCATTAGTCTACATAAGTGGGTCTGGCAGTTGTTACAGGGCTACCTTAAAAACCCTCATAATGGATGTTCATTCTATTTGAGCAGTTTAGTATCTATTCTCCATCCACTGATATGTTTTCTCTGGAGAAACTCCTTTCTGTTACGTGAATCCTTGTGGCAGTTTCTTTCAGGTTGTCCCTTCCACTAGCTAAAAGTGAGCATTCTCACTGTTGGGTAATGATAACCTCTCCTCCAGGATTTTTAGTCTGTACTTTAATCTCACATGAACCAGAGGGGAAATGTGGGAACTCATTTATTTCACTACAGAATTCTGCTGAGATCATTAGTTCCTGATAAATTGATTCCCACAGTAACTTTGGGTACTGCCCCTGGCCTTCTGGCCTCTGTGTGCTTCCAGTATCTTTTAAATAAACATTTTTTTTTCTGCTTAAGAAGAATGAGCTTGTTTTTTGTAACCTGTGTGTTCTAATTGATAAATTGTTCCCTTACAGTAGTGTAGGCAACAGACTTTAAGAAAAGTAGGCTATGTAGATTAGGTTTTTACAAGATAGGGACTTTTTAGTCTATAATATGAAATAGTGTTATTGCTTGTGAACACCTACACTCTTGTGGCCTAAGCTTGATGGTAAGATTCTGGGAAGACTGAGGAACTATTGCCATTGAATAACTTTAAGATTTATGAGGAAATTGGCTTCATTGGCTAATGCAAGACCAGATCTAGCACTGGCCCATGACAGGAAGTACAAAAGCCATAAACTGTGTGGTAATATAGAGGAAAGAATGGTAATGCTTTGAGAAATCATTCTTGATTGGATCCATTATGTGTTCCTCACAAACCCTGAACCCTGTCCCTTCACCAAGATCCACAGAAATGTGTTACTGAAAGCAGCAGCCGCTTCCTGGAGTGGGAAGGTGAGTGGGGGAATCTACAATTCAAACCATCTTCTCTGGTTAGGAGGACACTGTTCTGACAGAAGACTGGCAGTGACCCTTAACAATTAGACAAGGTTGGTTTGGTCAGTATAATATAAAGGTGGGGTTAGTGTGGTAATCAGGGCTCCAATTAATTTTTAATTTTGCGCTCTTTAGGAATGGAACTCAGTCCATTAAAACAGTTATAAAATCAGAAAATCTGGTATGACTAATGGGCACTATGAGAGAGCCATGCCCCTGTCCAGTTTACATACTTAGTTAAAAATCAAAGAACAAATGTTCCTTGTTAAAATTCAAAGAAACAGTGTTTCCTGAATTAAGCATAAGCCATATACAATCACAGAGTTCCTGGGTGGTACAAGCGGTGAAGCACTTGACTACTAACTAAAAGGTTTATGGTTCAGATCCACCCAGAGGCACCTCAGAAGCAAGCCTGGGCGATCTACTTTAGAAAAATCAGCCACTGAAAACCATATGGAGCACAGTTCTACTCTGACACACATGGGTCATTATGAGTCAGAATAGATAGCAACTAGTTTTTCATGTACAATTGAAGGAAAACTGTAGTAATGTGAACCTTTCTCATGTTTTAGGGTGCCTATACCCATAACCTAAGCAGCTCTTTACCTTTCAGAGGCTACTGGATGCTATGATCTCATACATCAAATCGTATTACTGTGATCTATGAACCAAGTGGGAACTTAACAGGATAAGTGGAGTTGTGACCCAATGTCAACTCATGGTAAGGTGTATGGGTCCTTGAATCCCATCCAGTAGCTATTTCCCAAACTGCACTACAGAGCATGGATCCTAAAATTGAAACCTTTAATATACTACTAAAGTGTGGTCTGCAAACTACTGACAGTCCATAAGCATTGGTAAATTTTAACAGCCATGTGACATTGTCACTACATCTGAAGGGATAGTTAGCGGACTCTCTGCATTGAGAAAGGTGTAGACCTGTGATCGTGCTGACAAAATTGTGCAATGATACACATGGTTTCAATTTTGGGACCCATGTGGGGAAAACTGATGAATCACTGGGCAACCTGAGGTAGGGAGTCAGGATTCAATGTCTGCATAAAGCCAGTGCCATCAGTGGGCTGCACCCTTAGTGAGAGGGGGAGTAAGAAAAAGCCACCCGTCGACAAAAGGATAAGGAAGCTTGTCTTGGATTATGTGTTATGTGTGAACATATTTATATTCCACCTGCTCAGTTTTAAGGTCCCAAGTCAAATCTGCTGCAAGTCCAGCAATATTCAAACTATCAAATTAACATAAAAATTGATTCTAGGCTTGTGATACCCTTAAAACCCACTGCCGTTGAGTTGATTCTTATTCCTAGCCACCCTGTAGGACAGAATAGAACTGCCCTGTAGGGTTTCCAAGGAGTGGCTGGTGGTTTTGAACTGCTGAACTTTTGGTTAGCAGCTGAGCTCTTAACCGCTGGAGTCTGGTATAAACACAAAGCAGAACAGTGTCAAGATGAACACTCCCATTCAGGCTGCACAGGATTGCCACAGGCAAACTTGACTAAATAGCTCAAAAAGCAAAATTACGAGAGGAGGGTACAGTCCACAGTGATCAGGTTCTGGGGCAATCCTTGGTTACCCACTTACCAGAATATCTTTTTCTTGTTAAGAAATCCACACATTTATTTGGTATCAGGTAGTAGTATCCACAGGGAAAGTGGAAAATCCCATACCCTTCTGCCAGTAACTGGTTTAGCAGTCATATCTGAGGTCCTGCTAATGATACAGAATTGAAGTCTGCTGGTTATTTTCCAGGAGCGGTATTACTCCCTAGTAGAGATGTACACAAGATCATTTCCCCATCTTTTCTGCTTTCTGACATTGATGTGTGATGATGTGATCTATAGTAGTCACCTTGTGATTAAAAGGGGGAGAGTTCACACTGGGAATTGCAGTAGGGAAAAGTGGCACAATTATGGGTTCTTGAAAACAGTTGAGTTGGTCAACCAACCCTGGCACTACTGTCTTCTCAACTTGGTGTGAAATAAAAATTGTCTTTAGTCTTCATCTCACTTTTAGTTGGAGATTCTTTTACTTACATTGAAAAGCATCCAGATAGAACAATGGGTTCAGAAGACAAGAATATAACTCTAAGAAAGATAATAATATGAGCTGTTCGAAATTATTACAGTCATAAGACATCAGAACTATAAAAGAATAAGACGCCAATAGGAACAGACAGATTTGTCGACATGACAGCCCAATCTTTCAAGGGAAATTGTAGTCAACACAAAGTGGATAATACTTTAAGTTGTTTTTTTTTTTTTTTTTACTTTTTTTTCACTAATAGAGTGTGTCTTGTTAGCACTTTTAACCACCAGTCACATTGGCTTTTATGTCTATATGGTACTCCAGATCAGTATTTGGCTGACTCACCTCTGTATTATTTGAAATACTGCAGGGCTTTGTTAGAACTCAGAGGTTCCCCATTCCAGTGAGATTGGTGACTTGAGGGATGGCTATCCTGTTCTCCTGGGACCACTGCTTTTAGGTCATCCCAATAGTATTTATGAAAACGACAAGTACACATGCTCTGTCTGACATAATCATAATTGTGGCAAGTATTTATATCTGCATTGGCATGGGTGTCAATTATTGGCTTGTGGCAAATGAACAGAACTAGAAAAAAAGAGAAGACCAGTGTTGATGTTGCTGATAAGCCAAAAGAAGCCAAGAGCACAGTGTTCTAACTAGAAGGGCACAGAAGGAGCTCCCAAAGAGGAGAGTCCAGTCTGACATTATAGGGCTGGAGACTAAAAGGAGGAACTCTTGACCTGACTCATAGAGTGTGTCTTGTTAGTTGAAAATATTACTTGTACTGGCATATATTCTGCCAGTAGTGTTTCGTGAAAATTGGGCCAGGTGTTGAAATTTTTGTTTAACTCTTTGACAGCAGTCTCAAATATGTCATATATTGTGGGACAAAGGCTTTTTCTTTTTTTTTTTTTAATACTGGCCATAAACAGTATCTTGAAGATATAACTATATGTCTTAAAGGTTTACTCTGAGAAATTTAGGGCACCTTAATTTTTAAAAACCATTTAGCTACATTTTTTTTTCTATTTTACAAGTATCACATTAACAGTAAAAGAAAAATAACAACTAACTTTGGTCCAAGTCTAAAATTTAAAATTAATCCTGCTGTATTGCTATTTGTAATACATTGTGAAATATCATTACTGGAGGCTGTACAGATGGAAATATTGGTTGAAAGTCAAAAACTTATAATTGAATTGCCCTTCTCCAATTTTACATGCTTAGGCAGACTTCTCAACAGCAACAATAAAGACTAGAAGAGAGTAATAGAATATCTTCAGTGTGCTGAAAGAAAATATCTACCTAGAATCAAATGATTATTTATGAATCAGGGTGAAATAATGTTATCTTTAGCAAAGAAAATATTTACTATTAAGAAAGTTTGAAATACAAGCAAAACAAATAAACACAAACAACAACGAAAAACAGGCCTAGTTGGACAAACCTAAATAAACCTGGACTTAAGAAAATGATAATTTATATTTTGGGAGTACAAAAAAAAGGAACTAAACCCTAGAGAGCAACAGTGTATGTAACACTGGAAGAGAGCAATTTAAATTATTTGTAGGAGTGTAGAGATGCACATAATATTAAACACTAGAGGAGGCATTAGACAAGGAGACCCACTTAACCACAAACAGATGCAGGAGTGGTCCCACGACCAAGGGATCGCTGGTTATGTCTAATACATACTCCACCACATAGAAGCTGCTGGTGTGATAGAACATTGGAATGACCTGCTGAAGGTGTAACTGAAGTACCAGCTCAGAGCAATACTCTTATGAGCATAGAGCGCCACCCTCCAAGATGCAGCTGACACTGAATTAAAGACTTTTATATATCACTGATTCGTCAATAGGAAGACTATACGGATTCAGGAACCCAAGGGGTAGAAGGACTGGAGCCTTTTACCGTCACTCTCAGTGAACCACTGTGCTCTGCAGGATTAGAGATCCCAGTTCTCCAAGGAGACACACTTTTGCCAGGGGACACAGCAAGATTCCCACAATTATAAACTATGGCTACTGCCTGGCCACTTCGGATTCCTGTGGCCAGGGACCGTCAGGCCAGGAGATGAAATGCCGTAATTATTTGTGTCAGGGAGAAATATGTGTGGTTCCAAGTGACATACCTGGGCGCACTCGGTACTCCCTTGCCTAGTTGTGATGGTCAATGGACAAGGGCTGCAATTCTAGCCTGAAAAAGGAGTGGCTCAGACCCATAAGGGAGGAGGGTCTGGTCATGCAACCAGGTAAGCTGTGGCTGAGAGTGAGGGGAATCTAGACTGAAGAGTAGAAGAGAGAAAAGATAAACAAAACCAGTTGGCATTGACTTGACTCCCACTTATGGGGAACCCATGTGCGTCAGAGTAGAACTGTGCTCCATAGGGTTTTCAATGGATGATTTTTTGGAAGGAGATCCCCACGTCTTTCTTCCTCGGCGCCTCTGGGTGGTTTCCAACCGCCAACCTTTCGGTTGGTAGACGATTGCTTAACCGTTTAAGCAACTCAGGGACTCCTTTTAATCTTAAGAGTTTATATTTCTTACGTATTCGTGTTCACAGACTCACATTTTGTGCAGCTGCGCGGCTCTGAGGCATCCTCAGCGTCTCTAGGCGACCAACGCTTCCGGGAGGCAGGGACCCCGACGTGGCGCGCAGCACTCTGGGAAATGGGGTTTGAGCGGCACCTTGCTCTCGCGCAGGCGCAGTCGCGCGGCCACCGAAGCTTTCGGATTGAGGTTTCTTACTCTTTGTCTTTTGCTGCCGCTGAGGGGTGAGTGTGAGGAGGGTGTTGGGGGTCGGGGGTGGGAGGGTGTGTGTGCGCGGGCCCCCGCCCCACCCGGCGCGCTCTAGTCCGCGCGGCGCCGCCGGGATCTGACTAGGCCGCAGCTGGGGCTGGGCGGGCGGGGAGTTTGTTGAGGGGGCCATTTTTTTTTGAGCTTTGTGATTCAAGGCCTGTGGGAGTTGGTGTTTAGGAAGACAGAAACGTTCGCAGCTTGTCAGTGATGGGGGGAGGGGCCATGGGGACCGACGGGTCCTGGCTGGGCGCCTCTGGGGCGATTTGGGGGACTGAGGTGCAGCGTTGTGGTGGGGCTGCAGGGGTCCGGATGGAGGCTGGGGCCCGTGATTGGATGGGCCTGTGGAATGATGCTAGGAGTCGGAATCGACTCAACGGCCACGAGTTTGTGGTGTGATGATTTATTTAGGGTGTTTCGGAATCCCTTGGGTCAGTGATCGGGGCTCTGAGGGTCGGAAGTGGAGGAGTCGGTGAGTAGTGTGCTGAGGAGAGTGCTTGGGGGCCGAGTGAGTGAGGACGGGTGTGTGTGCTAGCGTGGGAAGGCCCTCAAGCCCCTTCGGGTGTCCTCACTCATTACTGCCTTGTTTGGCCCCTGGGTTTTTATGTTCTTTGGATGTTTCCTTTCAGGTTGATTTTTAAAAGGTGATGCTGCCTCCATGGCGCAGTGGTTAAGAGCTCGGCTGCTAACCAAAAGGTCAGCAGTTCGAATCTACCAGGCGTTCCTTGGAAACCCTATGGGGCAGTTCTACTCTGTCCTGTAGGGTCACTATGAGTCGGAATCGACTCGACGGCAACGGGTTTGATTTTGGGTTTTGTGCCCATGGGATACAGCCATCCTCGGATGTCTTTGTCTCGGACTCCACTTCAGGACAGATTGAAGTGAAGGACCCATGGCTGAACAGAAACAGTTTATTGTGTAAGTGTCTGTGTATACGGTGGTGTAATGCAGTGGGAATGGTGACTTGATTGCTGGGACTCTGTTCTCCCTTCTCCAACCTCGCTTCATCCAGCACAGTCCTGCTTTTATGTGTAGAGTTTTTTTAAAGCACCTCTCTGCTTAAAATCAACAACAACAAAACTTTGATAGTAGCTGTTGTGGGAGAGAGATCATTAGCTCGGAAGTCCTTATTTCTGATTTTGATTTCAGCTCTACCACTTACTTTGGGCTATCCTCTGCCAATTCTGGGTTTTACATCTGCCTTTATCAGATTTTTCATCTGAAAATGAGGGAGTGGAAAGAAATGATCTTTTTTTTCCTTACTCAGATGCTTTTTGTTGTCATTAAAAAAAAATACTTTATTTTACTTAATTATGTAATTTGTGCACATGGTACCAAACTCAAAAGATAAAGTGGGTATATTATGAAAAATAAATGTGTTGTCTCTTGTCTCTCCGCCTCCTTAGAGGCAACCACTGGAATCAGATGCTTATTTGTCCTTCCATATATAAGCTCATACGTATACATTTATTTTTTTCTCATGCAAATGGTAGCATACTGTACATTCCATTCAGCATTGTGCTTTTTTCACTTAACGTTGTAAGTTGACAACCACGTAGTATTTATCCGCCCCTCATTGTTAGGTAACCCATTGCCTTGAGTCGATTCTGACTCCTAGTGACCCTGTAGGACAGACTAGAACTGCCCCGCAGGATTTCCAAGGCTGTAAATCTTTACTGAAGTAGACTGCCACATCTTTCTCCCACAGAGCAGCTGGTGGGTTCCAACCACCGAACCTTTCAGTTAGCAGCTGAGCGCTTAACCACTGCGCCACCAGTGCTCTTCATTCTTAATATTAAAAAAAAAAAAACCTGTTGCCGCCAGTCTGTTCTGACCCATACAGACCCAATAGAACAGAGTAGAACTGGCCCATAGAGTTTCCAAGGAGCTGCTGGTGGATTGGAACTGCTGACCTTTTGGTTAGCTGTAGTGGTTAACCACTGTACCACTAGGGCTTCATTCTTAGTATAGGCTGTAGGAATTCCATTCTGTGGATGTGCCATGATTTATCACATCCCTTACTGATGGGTATTGAAGCTGTTTGTAGTTATTTGCTATTATAAATAATTTTTTGCCATTACTTCAAACAAACTCCTTATCTTTAGCAGTGATTTGATTCCTAATCTATCTGTTTTGACAACACTGTAATAGAGTTTACTTTGTTTCAGCCGTGTGATGCTAAACTAAAACTTTAAGTTCTGCTTGCCTGTTGTTTCCTTGGGTTAAGGACTTGTAAATAATTTTAAATAATATTTATCACTTTTCCTTCTATGATAAAATATGTTCTTTGGAGTCAATTTGGAGCATCTTGATAATCTCATCAAGAGGTCATAGTAAATGTTAAAATTTTGGTACATTTCTTCAGTCAATAAATGTATGGATTTTTTAATACATTTTAAACCAAAATAAAACCTGTTGCTGTTGAGTCGATTCAGACTTATAGTGACCACATAGGACAGGATGGAACTGCCCCATAGGGTTTCTAAGGCTGTAATCTTTACAGAAGCAGACTGCCACATCTTCCCTGGGGCTGGTGGGTTTGAACTGCTTACCTTTCAGTCAGCAGCTGAGCGCTTAACAAGTGCGCCACCAGGGTTCCTTTTATACATTTTACCTATTTATATTTCCTTTGAAGAAACAAAATAGGAAATATACTTTATACACTACTTAAAGTCTTTACAATATATCATAAACGTCTTTCCTTAACTTGTAATATTTGTGCAAAGTGTGGAGTTTAAATTCTGGGGAGCCTTTTCAAGTGTCCTCTGAGAATCTCTTTCTCTTGTATTTATTCTATGTCTACCTGGGTGCCATCAGTTCTGTACAGGGAACTATATTGCTCCTGTACTGGGAATAAAAACAGGGACACCAAAGGCCTTTGCCTAGCACCCCCTCTGGTATTGGAGAAGGGTATGATCACAGCTTCTGGAGAGGACTTGTGGATCCAGTGGCCCAGATAGACCACTTCCTGACTCTGTCATAGATGTTGAGCAAGTTGCTGAGCCTCTCTGTACTTTATTGCTTCTTCTGTCATGGGTTGTTGGATGAGTTAAAAAAGGTAATATGGTGTATAAAACATTATCTGGCACACAATAAGTGTAAGTAAATGTTATTGTTTACTTTTTCCTTGAAATTCCCATTGAACTTTTTGAAGAGTGGAACTACTCGGTAGTAATGATGGTAGCCCCTTCCTTCTGAAGATAAATGTGAGAACTGGTAAAGGGAGAACTGCAGTATAGGAAACTGCCAGGGTGAAAAAAAACAGTTAAAATGTGCAGAAGTCTACAGTGAAGGGCTTAGTCTTCCATTTACTGAGAGGATATGCTGCAACCAATTGTAGAGAGTTAGTTCAAGGGGTAATTTCTCCTTCCAGGGTCAACTTTAGAACGTGTTTGTTTAAATTGGAAAAGTAAAATTGTGTCTAGAATTTGCATTGTTCTGAGTAACAAACTTAAGTATCATCAGAAATATTTTACGATTACTATACTGACGGCCTGTCACACCAGTTGACCTAAAATTTTCAACCGTGCATATTCTTTGTAATAAATCTACATCACTTCTACATAAACCCCTCTACTCATGTATACCACACAAAAGCCAAACCTGTTGCCATTGAGTCGATTCCGACTCATATCGGCCCTATAGGACAGAGTAGAACTGCCCCATAGGGTTTCCAAGGAGTGACTGGTGGATTCTAACTGCTGACCTTTTTCGTTAGCAGCAGTAGCTCTTAACCACTGCACCACTCATTTATATTCTCACTGAAATCCATCTAAACTTCACCAAGTAGTCTTTAAAAAGTTTATAAAAGAAAATTTAAAATCACATTGTAAAGTTTGGTTATCTCCTTAAGGAAATGGTTTGAATTGTAAACATAATTTTATTCTTTCCAATGTAAGAATTTTTATTACGTGAAAATGAAATGAAGTGAAAGCCTACTGAGAAAGAAATGATGCATTTGTTCTAAGTATGTTTTCCTGGTTTGTTTGCCTTTTAAGTTGTTTAAAGGTGTGTGTGTCTCTGTGTGTGTGTTTATGATTATTTTCTTTTAACCGCAAGGAAGTTTTATGTTTTTTAATGGTTAAATTTGTCAACTCATTTTTTATTTCATGGCCTTTGTCTTTTGTGTCGTGTTCAGGGAAATCTCAACCCAAATTTTACAAATATATTCACCTGTATTTTCTTCATGCATTAATGTGGTTTACATTGTTTTTCATTCTAATCCATCTAGAAGTAGTTTGTTGAAATGTATGAGATAGGTAACTAGCTTTATTTTTTTTCATATGTTAATCACTTATCCCATTCATTAAGCAATCCAGTTTTACGGTTTTAAAATGCTACATTTATCACATGCTAAATTCTAACACACCCTTGGGATTTTGCCCTGGTGGTGAAGTGGTTAAGAGCTCAGGCTGAATCCACCTGCAGCTCCTTGGAAACCCAATGGGGCAGTTATACTTAGTCCTGTAGACTCAAAGGCACACAACAACTTAGGACTTAGTTTGAACTGTTACACTTTACTCATCTGTATATCTTTTCTGGAGCCAGCGTCATGTTCTTCTTTTTTTAATTATGGTAAATATGTAGTTAATAAAACGTTTGCTATTTCAACAATCTTAACATGTACAGTTCAGTGACATTAAATATCTTCATGTTGTTCAACCATCACCATTCCCGAGTTTTTTCATCACCCCTAACAGAAGCTCAACGATGCCTAAGTGTTGTGTCCTCCTTTCCCCACCTTCCCACCTACCCCTTCATGCTCTTTTATTTTAATTTTACAACTTATGTTAGTATTTTATTGTGACAGTTCACACTCATTACTTTGCGTTTCCGGAAATGTCCTAGTTGTTCCTGAATGTTTTTTCTTCCAAATGAACTTCAGAATTACTTGTTAAAGAAAAAAAAAAAGAGAGATTATCACTGGAATTGGCTTAAATATATAGCTCATTTTGGTCCAAATTATCTTTGCAATATGAAACCTTCTTATCTCAGGACAAGACCAAATTATACATTTACTTAAGTCTGTTTTTATAATCCTCACTGGTGTTTTTAGTTTCTATCATATGAGTCTTGCATATTTCTTATCAAGTATATGTATATATTTCGTATATTCTTCTATGAGTAGAATTTTATTTTCTTTTTACTGTTTTACATAAGAAAGCTGTTGATAATATAGAAAATCGTTTTACCTGGAAAGATGTTCATAGTGGGAAAAAACAGAAACAGTTTTTAAATGTGACCATATGCTTCAGTTTTTGTTGAAAGTGTCAGAATAGTTTCCACCATCTCTTAAGAATGGTTATCTGTGGTGTAGTAGCGTCATAGGTAATAATAGTTACTTCTTATTTAGCTTGTATGCTTTTTTACATTTTACCATCATATTTTTACATTTGTAATAATAATTATGGCTTATATTTATTTAATGATTACTGTATGCCAGCTACTGTTATAAAGTGCATATATTATCACAATTTAAGGTAAAAAGGAATAATTTATTGCATAACTGGGAGAAACCTCAGTATGCATTTCTGAGTTGGCGATGAAGTTTAAATCACAGAGATGCATGAAAGGAAAGGACCTGGAGTCTTAAGTGCTGCTTTTTAGTATGATAAAGGGGTGAGGCAGGCTGTACTTCATTTGTGTTTCTGTGGTAATAATATGACTGTTTGCATGGAAATAAGAGCTAATTCTAGGATTTGTGTGTGTGTGTGTGAAATAACATGATTTTGATGGTAAATGCCATGAACACAGCAGGAAAGAGAAAGAACATTCCAATTCTGCTGCTTAATAGCTGTGCAGTCATGGGCACACTCAGTCACTCTAAGTCTCAGTTTTCTGTCTGTAAAATGGAGATTATAATGTTAAATCTGTTATAGGTCATCTGTGAATATTAAATTGTAAGCTGCTTAGTATGTTGCCATGCATATAGAAAGCATTCAGATGTAAGCTATTATTGTTATTACAAAGCACTGTGTTTATCATATTCCTTTTAAAATCTCATTCTCAGAATTCAACTTTGAGGTCCACTTTATCCTTACCATTTTAGCAAGTAAAGAAATGAAGGCTCAGAAGACAAGAAGAGAGGAAAAAAAGCAATAATATATGTAAGAATGACAGTAAATATCAAGTGTATTGAATTCATAAATTAAAAGATTCTTTGGATTTTTAAAAAACACAGATTTGAGCTCTAAACTGCTTATAAGAGAAATAGAAAAATACGGAAATTTTAGTTTGTGTCTCTAAGTCTTAAGGTGTGTCTCTTATAGGCAGCATATAGACGGATCGTGTTTTTTTATCCATTTGCCAGTCTCTGTCTCTTTATTGGTGCATTTAGTCCATTTACATTCAGCGTTAATTATTGGTAGGTATGAGTTTAGTGCTGTCATTTTGATGTCCTTTTTTTTATGTTGTTGACAGTTTCCTTGTTCCACTTAATTTTCTGTGCAGAGTTGTTTTTCTTTATTTTTTTCATCTTTTTCATTGTTGTTAATTTTGTATTTGCTGAGTCTTTTTTGTTTTTTATTTCGATAATACTGAAATTTTAAATGTAATTGGATGGAAGATGGTATACCAGGGAAATACTAACCAAAAGAATGCTGATGTTGCCATCTATATCTAAGATAAAATAGGTTTTCAGGCAAAAAGCATTATTTAGAGATGAATGATTAAAAACAAAAATCCAGAAATATGTAAGCACTGTGCATCCAACAACATAGCCTTAAATCAACCATCAACAGAATTACAAGGAAAAATTGACCAGTCTATAATCATATTGAGAGATTTTAACACATCTCTTTTAGAAATTGATAGAATTGGCAGACAAAATTAGGAGAGATATAGAATAATATACTAGGAAATTAAGGCTCAGAAAGATATAGTGTCTTTGTTTTTGCCCAAAGTCACAGAGCTGGTAAAAGGGAAAAGTTTGATTGAAAATCAGATCTGCTTTAATACAAAATCTCATGAGCTTTCCAAAATTCCATCTGCCTAAAATTAAGTTGTGTTTATTTCTAATATTTCTGTATCTGTTTTCATAGCCATAGACTCCTACTTTGTAGTTAAGGATTCTGGGATCTTCTATACTATATCCAGTTTCTGTCTCTGCTAGCCCTTTTTCAGTTATATAGAAAGCCACACTCTGGACTTAGATGATCATAAATCCCTAGTTCCTATCAAGAAAGAAATGATTTTAGGCACAATGTGAATGTACCAGCTAAAATGCATTTTTCCCTAAGTCCACAGATCCTGGTTCCCCAGAAATAAGCCTGCTTATGTGAAATAAGAAAGGAGGTCCTGGAACTAAGAATTTATTCTCATTGTAGAAGACCTAGCCAAGACCTCACCCCAGAGCTTTGAGGTAGAGGCAGAAGAGACACAGGAGAGATCAGTCTCAGACTGGCTAACCATCTCATGTGGGCAACAGAAAATGACCATGTTACAGGTGAGTTGATTTCTTATTCTTTATTTTCCAATGTATTAGAGGAAGCGTAAGTTTTATAGTAATAAAGAGAAGTATAAATATTTAAAAATCAAGATTAGGGAAAAATATTCTCAGAATAGAGTATCAGGATTGGGACAAACTTGGAGCAGTATATATCAACTATAGGACCTTTTGAAGTTTTTAAGATTGAAATCTTTATGTCTTAATATCCTGCAAAATTATTAAATTTGACCCGCAAACTTGGATATGAAATTTTTGGCAGTTATGATAAAGAATTATGAGCATTTATGAACTGTGTTATTCAAAGGAAAAAGCAAACTAATTCCTCATAGGAAGTAAATATTTCTTGATCATTAGGCATTGATTTTTTTTTTCCTTGATGGTCTTTGAATAAATGATATAGTGGGTAATATCCTCAAGAGAAACAGTGGAATAAATACATGGGTTTTATGGCCATTTCTCATAGTAGTCCTCAGAGTGTGAGCCAAAGGTATAATGCTAAAGTAAAGCTTAGTGATCATAATTACTTTCTTTACATTTTTAATTGTAAAGAACAATTTATATGCAGAAAAGTGTATAAAAGTACAGCTTAATGAAGTATTATCAAGTGAATACACTTGAAATCACCACTGAGTTCAAGAAATATAATATTCCCAGCCCAAATGAAGCTCTTCATGTGCCCTTCTGAGAAAGGTAACGAGGATCCTGACTTTTTTGTAACTTCTTCCTTTCTTTTCTTTGTAATTTTATCCCAGAGTATGTATTCCAAAACACTAGTTTAATTTGTGAGTTCTTTTGGATTTTCTCTATATGCATTCAGGCCATCTGTGAATAAAGATAGTTTTGCAGCTTCCTTTTCAATATTGATACTTTTTTCCTTGCCTTTTTTGGTACTTGCTGGGACATCCGGGAGAATGTGTAATAGAAGTGTTATTAGGAAATGTCTTGTTCTGTACCTGCACCATCCAGTGTGGTAATCACTAGCCACGTGTGGCTGTTTAAATTTAAGCAAATAAAATGAAATAAAAATTAAAATATCAGTTCTTTAGTTGCACTAGTCACCTTTCCAGTGCTCAGTAGACACTTGTCGCTAATGACTACTATATTGAGCTGTGCAGACATAGAACCTTTCAGTCATCACAGAAAGTTCTGTTGGACAGTGATACTTTAGTCCTGAAGGGGTAAGTAGTCGGTATTTCAGTATTAAGCATGATGTTAGCTACAGATTTTTTAAATAGATTATCAGATTACATTCCCTTCTGTTACTAGTTTGTTGATTGTATTTTACAATGAGCAGATGTTCATCAGATGCCTTTTCTGCATCTGTTTTGTTGATCATACGGTTTTTCTCTTTTATTCTGTTAATATGATTAGTTATATTACTTTTTGAATGTTAAACCAACCTTGTGCTACTGGAGGAAAGCTCATTTGGTCGTGCCGTGATAGCTTTTTATACGCGACATGATTCAGTTTGCTAATACTTTGGTAGGTGTTTTGATTCTGTGCTGTGAGAGTTATTTGCCTGTAGTTTTCTTGTGATTTCTTTGTCAGATTTGGGATCAGGCATCTACTGGCCTTATAACATGAATTGTGAATTGTTTCCTTTTTCTCTATTCTTTGAAAGAGTTTGTATAAGATCATTTTATTTTTTTTTTAAATGTTTGGAAGAATTCATCACTGAAGCCATCTAGGGTCCTGAGTTATTTTAGAGGAAAGGTTTTAAATTGTGGTATTAATTTATTTAACAGTTACAGGTCTGTTCAGATTTTCTATTTAATTTTGTGTCAATGTCTTAGTTACCCAGTGCTACTATAACAAAAATACCACAAGTGGATGGCTTTAACAAAGAGAAATTTATTCTCTCACAGTGGGGCTAGAAGTTCAAATTCAGGGCGCCAGCTCTAGGGGAAGGCTTTCTGTCTTGTCGGCTCTGGGGGAAAGTCCTTGTCATCAATCTTACCCTGGTCGAGGAGCTTCTCAGCGCAGGAACCCCAGGTCCAAAGGATGCGCTATGCTCCCGGTGCTTCTTTCTTGGTGGTATGAGGTCCCCATGTCTCTCTGCTTGTTTCTTTCTTGTGTATCTCAGAAGAGATTGATTTAACAAAACCTAATCTAGTAGATTGAGTCCTGCCTCATTAACATCATAGAGGTAGGATTTGCAACACATAGGAAGATCACATCAGATGACAAAACGGTGGACAGTCACACAATACTGGGAATCATGGCCTGGCCAACTTAACATACATGTTTTGGGGACACAGTTCAATCCATAATAGTCAGTTTGAATACGTTGTTTTTAAAGGAATATATCTGTTTGATCTAAGTTGGCATAAATTTATTCATAATACTATCTTTTTTTACAGCTTTATTGAGGTATAATTTACATACCATAAGATCCACCTATTTTAAATGTATAATTGAATGATTTTTTAGTACATTTAGAGTTGAGCAACTGGCAACACGATCCGGTTTTAGAAAATTTCCATCACTCAAAAAAAAATCCCTTGACATTTGCAGTCAGTTCCCATTCCCATCCACAGCGTGGGGCAACCACTGATCTGCTTAATCTCTATACAGCTTTGCCTTTTACCGAAGTTTCGTGTGAATGGATTTATACATAAGTAATCTTTTGCATCTGTCATCTGTTATTTAGCATGTTTTTGAGGTTCGTCCATGTTTTAATCTATACACAGATTCCCAAAGTCTCCTGAGATAATAAGAAAACACACACATACATCTTTAACAAATGCAGACTACTATTGGTAAATATGAAATCTGACCCTAAAAAGAAAACTGTAGACTTTGAGAGGAGTCAGTGATGGTAAACACAGATCAGTAGAAACTATCCATTTTGAACAACAGAGAGAACAAAATTTGAAAATGAACATAGCTTTAGGAACCTGTAGGACAATACCAAAGTGTGTAACATTTGTGTCATGGGAATCTCAGAAAGAGAAAAGGGTCTTTAGGACATAAGGAAAAATGATCCACCATGTTGATTCAAGTCCAGTTGCCTTTCTAAAACCTAAAGTTGGTTATGTCACCACCCTTCTTATAAAACTTCACATGACTATTGGCAACAAGAAACAAGACAGTATAAACTGTTAGCCACAATCTGCTTTGCCATCCATTTTGGCCCTTAAATTAATCACTGTCCCCCACACACCCTCTTCTTCCATCCGACTAAACTCTTTGCACCTTTTCAACCCTAGCAGTGTTTTGGTCCTGTTATGAACTGCTGCCTGCTAGGATGCCTTTGCATTTTCTGTTGTTGCTGGTGTTTTTGAAAATATTACTAGTCTCCTAAAACTCAATTCAAGCTTTATCTCTTTTGTAGACTCATTTAAAAGTCTCAGATAGGATTATACTCTCCTTGCTTGTTATCCACATTGTGCCCTCTCTTCGTTTTAGTTTTTGCTGTTATAACACCTTATTTTATTTATATGTGTACATGTTTGCATCCCACTCTGAGACTAAGCAGTTTTTGAGGATTTCGTTTTATTTATCTTTCTGTTGCTACCACCTCTTCCAGTGTCTGACATATATGATGTTTAGTAAGTATTTTGTTGGTGGCTCAGAGGATTTAAAGTCTCCTATTCCAACTCTCATATGCTATGTAAATGGAGGTATGGAAGAATACACAATGTCGTTTTCTCCCACAAGGTATAATGCAAAGGTAGGAACGCAGTGGGTATTCAATACATCTTGCTATGATGACAGTAATGTGCCCAAGCTCTGATACTTCTTTCCCACATCATGTGAAATTGATAACTACTTCTAATTTACTTGGATTGTGTTCTTACAGGAGTCATTGTCATTTGAAGATTTATCTGTGGACTTCACCCAGAAGGAATGGCAGCTGCTGGACCCCTCTCAGAAGGACTTATACAAGGATGTCATGTTGGAGAACTATAGCAGCCTAGTATCATTGGGTAAGAAAAGCTGCCCAGAGTACCTCAGATTGTGCTCAATAAATTGCCTTTTCTCTTGTCAGTTGCTGAGAGTTCTGAAATATTTAACTATTTGGGACTTAAATTTAGGAGATCAAAGTATCTTGGATTGTGACACCAGAGAAAATATTTGGATTTTATCTTCTGATAATGAAGTCACAACTTCATTGTTCAGTGTCTGAAACTAAGTAGTAGTAGTAGCAGCAGCAGAGCACCACCGAACACATACAACTTATGTATGCCACATGGTGTACACATACTGACTCATTTAATCATTACAGCAATTCTCTATGGCAGGTACTATTATTATCCTTTTTTCCTAATTAGGAGATTGAGAGAAAGAGAAGTAACTTTCCAAAGGACTGACAGCTAGTAAATGAAACAGCCTGTGTTTGAACCCAGACAGTCTGACTCCAGAGCCTCTGATGTGCTTAGTGGTTTTGGACTTGAATTATAGAAGTCAAAGATTCTTAGTCCCTGCTAACTACCAGGGAGACTGTTATGGTATCTTTGAAAATTATTCACTGTGCTGAGATACAAATGGGTAACTTCACTGGGCCAATTCTGAGGCTAAACCTTGCTCATTCTTCAGAGGCTTTAAAGCCCAAACAGTTGGGTCCAAGTCCTTTGTGATTTTCCCTGAATAGGATATGAAGTTATGAAACCAGATGTGATCTTCAAGTTGGAACAAGGAGAAGAGCCATGGATAGTAGATGGAGAAATTGCAAGTTCAGACTCTCCAGGTGAGTGGATGAGAACCAGGCAGTTAGGAAAAGGTACAAGTTCAATTTCAGTTGATCATTGATGGGTTGGGATCTTTAAATTGATGGGTTGGGATCTTTAAATATTCACCAATACAACCTCCAGATTTACAATGTAGTGACAATGATTACATTTTTCATGTTGTGCTACGATTATTGCTGTCCTTTACCAAAATATTCCACCTTCATTAACATAAACTCAATGCCCCCCAAACTAAAACTCCCTTTCTTCCTCTTTCCCACCCTGATAACCATTAATAATCTTTGGTTTCTATATGTTTGCTTATTTTACGTAAGTGAGACCATACAGTATTTGTCCTTTTGTAACTGACTTATTTTGTTCAGGATAATGTTTTCAAGGTTCATCCATGTTGTGGCATACATATATCACAACTTCCTTTCTCTATGGTTGTATGATAATTCCATTATAGGTATGTACCACATTTTGTTTATCTGTTCATCTATTGATGGCTATTTAAGTTGTTTCCACCTTTTGGTTATTGTGAATAGTGCTGCAGTGGACATTGGTGGACAGGTTTCAGTTTGTGTTCCCGTCTTCATTTCTTCCGGCTATATACTGGGTCATATGGTAGTTTTATGCTCAAGTTTTTGAGGAACTGCCAAACTGTTTTCCACAGTGGCTGCACCGTTTTACATTCCCATCAACAGTGAATGAAGGTTCCAGTTTCTTCACAGCCTTGCCAACACCTTTTGTTTTCTGTTTTTTTTTTTTTTTGAGGTGATATCTCATTGAGCTTTTGTTATCATTTCTGACAGCCTATCATTCAATGCTGGGTCCCACAACCTCCCCCCTAAAGTTTCTCCTAAGAATTTTATGGTTTTAGTTTTTACATTTAGGTCCTTGATCAATTTTGAATTGGTTTTTGTGTGTGGTGTGAGGCATGGATCCTGATTAATTCTTCTGCATGTGGAAATCCAATTTACCCAGCACCATTTATTGAAAAGACTCTTCTTTGCCATTGAATGGACTTGGCACCCCTGTTGAAAAGCAGTTGACCATAGTTGTATGGATTTATTTCTGGACTTTCAATTTTATCCCATTGGTCTATATGTCTATTATTGTACCAGTACCTGGTTATTTTAATTACTATAGCTTTATAGTATGTTTTGAAGTCCAGATTCTTCAAGATTGCTTTAGGTATTCAAGGTCCCTTGCCCTTCCATGTAAATTTGAAGATGGGCTTTTCCATTTCTGCAAAGAAGGCTGTTGGCATTTTTATGGGAATTGCATTGAATTTATAGATTGCTTTGGGTTGTGTTGACATCCTAACTATATTAAGCTTTCCAATCTGTGACCACAGAATGTCCTTAACTTCCTTTTTTAAATTAGATTGTGCTGTGCTTTTTCTATAGGTTAGATACCATGGAGTACATTAAATAATCTCTTTCATTCTTTCTTACTGATCTGAGTATTATTTTTAATTTTTTTGCCCTTTGGAAATACCTTTTTTAAAGCCTTCCTTCCTTAATTGCCACTTAAAACGAGGCCCATAATGTCTCATTGCTGAGTTTCTCAAATTGCTGGTTAGATCCAGATTCTAATCTTTTAAAAGATGTTTTAAACGATACCACCATATTTGATTTTCTGAAACATCCAACACTACTGTGACCAGTTAAGCCAGCTACTCCTTATTCTGTGTGACATTGACTTCCCTCAGTTTTCTTCAAAAGCAGGCCCTGAGACACATCTTTGAGTACTAGGATTTTTGCGGTGTGTGATCCCCACAGGTGTAGAGAGAATGAGGAAGTGAAACTGGGAAAGGAATAATGTCAGTGAAGGGTGTGTTGATGGGTGGGCTGCTGCTGTGAGCATTGGGAGTTCACTTCTGCTGGGTACCTTCTGAGGGACTGTGGAACGTACTTCAGACTTGACTCTGAGGGACAAGGAAGCCATAATATTCACCTGCCACCTCCTGCTGGTTGATGTTGCACCTGGGGTTATTAAGTCCTCAGAACTTCCTGCATCCCCTGTACACAGACCAAGAAAGGTCTCAGCTAGAGAGATACAGGTGCTGAAGTAGAGAGCCATTTGTGTGTACAGGATCTATTCACCAAAGCCGAAGGTGTCTTCTGTATGGAAATGAGGCATAGGTGAAGCGAAGATAGCATGTGCTACAGATTTGTAGTTTCTTCTTTCAAGAACCTTTACAATCTGACACTCTCTTCCCTGTTCAGTTATTTCTTTTTTGCCCCCTAAATTCATGATCAACATCTAAATGTTTCCTAGTGTTTTCATACATGTAATAGTCTTCTGTACATCTGAACCTTTGCTTATACTGTACTTTTCTTATCTAGAAACTCTTAATCCTTTCTGCATGCACCCAGTTTTCACTGCTTTCATAGTTATGGAAGGTTCCTTGAATACTCCAAGCTAAACTTTTCTCACCTTTTTCTGAAGTCTTGTCCCAGACCTGATCACAGTATATGTAATACTTTTTAGTTGGTTGGGTCTTGAGACTTGTTTACATATATAGACATGAGGGCTTATAATTTAATATTTTCAGTTATGGAATATATATTATACATTCAGTAAATATCTCTTCACAAGCATTGTTTTAATACAGATGGCTTTAGCCAGGATGTGCAGCAGATTAACAGGATTTTTCCCCCAACTACAGGCATTATGGATCTGTTACCAGAAAGTGCTTCAGTAGAAATGGTATATGTGTAGTTTTTATGTTTGGTATAGTGGGACTGGTATTTTTAATTTGATAAACCTTTTCTGGTGATTTTTATGTGCCCCACATAGGAGGCTCACTGCTTTCATGACTACTAAAAAGGATTTTAAAGTAAGAGGTCTAGAAAATACCTTCCCAAATCATAGAACTTAGTTGAGAAGATTAAGTATTTAAACATTGAGCATATGTTTTATTGCAAGGCAGTGCAAACTTAGCTGTCAGAATTATGCAAACGGGCTGCATTGGGGGTCCCCAAGACCACACCCATGTTCAGAGATTCACTGGAAAGACTCACAAAACTCAGCATATAGTTGTACTCACAGCTAAAATGTATGACAGTGATGTAGTAGGGATCGTAAGGGTAAAGACAAGGCAGAGCTGGAGGAATCCATGTGCAGGCTTCCTTATGCTTGTTTCCTCCTGTGAGGGTCCCATAGAGCGTATTCTTTCCCCCAGCAAAAAAGTCCAGCAACATGTGTGTGATGTTTCTGCTCTGAGAAGCCCACTAGTCACTTGGCTCCCAAGATTTTTTATTAGGGGATGGTCATAGGCACATTCTGCCTAGCACATACCAAAAGCCCAGACTCCCAGAAGGAAAGCAGATGTTCAGCATAGATCATATTGTCTGCGTAAACGTACTAGACACAGTGAGCAAGCCTTATCAGCTAAGGAATGGTGGGAACATTTCCAAAATCAAGTTTCCAGACACCAGCCAAGGGCCAGCGTTGCCAGCAGGCATTTCTGAAGAGAGCAATCTCAGGCTAGCCGTTGACACAAACTGCACAGACTGCTCTTGCAATTCAGAGAAAATTAAATTTTTGTTTTTCTATTTTTCAGACACTGTGCTGGTTGCTATGGTTACAGAAGTGAACATTAGAGATATAGTCATGCCCTTATAGTTCTTCCTTCCTAGTGGAAGGTTAACAAAATGAGCAAGTTAGCAAATAACCAAGATAAAATCCAGATCACGTTAAGATGCTATTAATTAGGAGATTTGATACAGAGTAAAATGAGGAAGCCAGCCCTAGACAAAGAATGTGCAGTGAGCAAGCTATATGAAGACTTAGGGGAAAGCTTCCCAACAGGAATGGCAGATATGAAGGCCTGAAGTCAAGAAAAGGCTTCATGATTTTAAGGAACAAAAAGGAAGCTCATGTGGCTAGACATTAGTGTTCCAGGAGAGATCGAAAGAACTAGATCATATATCAAATTGTAGGCAATAGAAAGGAGTTTGGATTTATTCAGATACTTTTAAATAAAAGTAAAATTATTTGATTTACATCTTTAAAAGTTCAGTTTGTCTACTGAGTGGAGGATTTAACTGAAACAGGAAAACCAGTTAGAAGAATATTTCATTGAGATGATGTGGTGCAATAGACCACAGCAGAGAAAGCAGTGGAGAGAGTTGAAAGGATTTGATTTATACCAAAAATGACCCACTATAAAGCACTCCTATTTTCCTAATGGTAAAAGATTAAACAAAATTTTGGAAATGTAGATGAAATTTTCAAATATGTACTTTGTTTAGTAGTGTGGTATTGAAAGTAACGTAAAATCGTAAGTTTAATTTATAAATGCTCTTTTTCCTACTCTCACATTCCCTAAAACCATTTTTTTCAAATTCTTCATATACGTCTCAAATTATATTTATAATGGAGTCTTGATTTTAATTTCCAAATGTTTTTCTCCCTCAGTCTTCCCCAACTCAATAATTAACACCATAATCTGCTGAATTGCTGAAACACCAAAGCTAGCAATCATTTTTTGATTCTTTCCTTTACCTTATTTCCCGCACATCAAATCCATCAGCAGATCTTGTTGATTTTACCTTCAAAATATCATATATTGCCAACCATGAGTTGTGAGTTTTCCCCAAACTTACTGCCCTCGACTGACATTTAAATCCTTAAAAAACTTCCACATTATTGATTCTCTTTCACACAAGTCTATGACTTCACAACAAAACTTCATAGCATAGATTGTTATTAAAACACAAGGCTTTTAAAGAACACTTAAAATAATAACGTAAGTGGTTATGTTATAAAGATAATGGAAGTAGAACTATATAATAAGTGACAGTTGAACTGTCAGAACATTTTAAGAATGGGTTCTTATGTCTTGGAATATTTTTAGTGAAAGCACACATAGATTTTAAAAGTTCTGTACCCAAACAGTTTAGATGAAAGATAATGTGTTATGAAAATATGTTGCATGAGTTTGGTTTCTTGATAATTGTGTTGAAGATATGTATGGCAAGTTTAAATAAAACTTTCAGAAAATGTGAGAACGGGTAAAAGTACACGAAATATTTCTAATCCTTCAAGCTTGAAATGACTGTAGCTTATTTATCAAATCTGTTCATTTTCTTCTTAGTACTTACCATATTGTACAATTGTGTTCTTTAATATGATCTGTTTATTATTTATCTTTTCTATTAGGATGTAAGTTTCATAATGGCAGGGCTTATGGCTTGTTCTTATGTGTCTTCAGTGCCTCACTGTAAAAACGTGTAGGGGTGGTGTCTGACCTCCTCTAACTTCACAAGGGGGAAGGAGAATCAAGATCAACAGCCCAAGGCTGATTCCTATGAAGTGCAGATCAGATTCCTCCTCTCTCTGCCATGTTTACCAATTCTCACACCAACCATCCCTCCCGTGGCACTCTGTACTCTGCTGCATTCGGTACTTTGTTGTAGTGGCCACACAGAACTCACAGACAATACAGTTATGGTGTTTATTAGGAAAGTAACAGATTACAGTTCAGATTCAGGAACACTCAAGGATACAGTTCTTCCACCAGGACAGCCTTTTTTCAGCTATGCTCTCAAGCATACCTCTCTGTGGCCCTCAGCTTCTGCCCTGCTCAGGCAAGTGTTACAAAGCTCTTTTAGTCCCTGCCAGTAAGTCCCCAGAGGCACCCCAGGCACTCAGCGTTCTCAGCCTGTGGTCCGGGAAGCCCACTGTGCCATCTCCTGCTGGTCTCTCCTACCACTGCTCGCTGTCTTCTGGGTTACAGCTCTCTCTCTCTCCTGGTTCCAGGAGCTTCTGAACACATGGATCCTGAATCCAAAGGGCACGCTCTCTGCTCCTGGCTGCTCTTCCTTGGTAGTGGTAGGATCCTGTCTTTCCTGCCTCTAGGGTGGTTCATTTCAAGCCCAGTGGGATGGCAGAATTGACCAATCCCATTGGTGGGCCACAATTACCCTATTTGTACAGTCCTACCCAATCATTTAGGTGGGAGTTACAAGACCATGGTTAGAAAGGCCACACAAAAGCAATCCATCATACCACACTCACTCACTGCCTGGAACATAGTAGGCACTCAGTGGGTACTGAGTGAGTGAATTAATCCCTCAGAACATTGAATCAATGCTTCTTCCAACTTTCTTTGTCTTTATTGCTCTTAGGTATTTTTAACATTCTTTCCCCATTTAACAAAGATATTTGTCAACAACCAAAGGGTATTTAATCTACTGTCAGTTACCTGTTTTCAGCATTTAGTTTTTATTATCTAGAGAATAGGCATTTTACTTGGCATTTCTTTCAGACTGAAAAACTAAGTTTAGAAAGTAGTCTGACCCTCAGCATAGCATTTCTTGTTTTTTATTCACAAGCATAGAAAGATTCACAGATTTTTTGTTTTCTTTGTAGAAGAAGTCTGGCAAGTAGATGGTCACATGCTGTGGCATCAGGATAACCAAGACAAGCTTAAAAATGTGAAAAGAGTTCATGGATGTGATGCATTTGGGAAAAAATTCGATCTGAGCATGAACTTTGTTCCTGTAAGGAAATCACACAGTGAAAGTGACTTAGATGGAATAATTTTAAAACATCATGTAGATTTACTTATTCCAAAAGCTGACTGCGAAAAAATGGAACCAAATGACTTTAATGTATTTGATAAATTATTTCTCCATACCAAGCCTGAAGAAACTGACACTTGGTTAAAATACTATGAATATGATAAATATGACAGAATTAGCTACAAGAAGTCACAGATTGTCATATATCACAGAACTCGTTTAGGGGAGAAACTCTTTGAATGCTGTGAATGTAGGAAACGCTTCAGCAAGAAATCAAGTCTCATTAAACATCAGAGCAGGCATATAAGAGAACTAGCCTATGGCTGTGGTAAATGCGGCAAAACCTTTCCGCAGAAGTCACAGTTTATTACACATCACAGAACTCATACAGGAGAGAAACCCTATGATTGTAGCCAATGTGGGAAAGCTTTCTCCCAGAAATCACAGCTCACATCCCATCAGAGGACACATTCAGGAGAGAAACCCTATGAATGTGGTGAATGTGGAAAAGCCTTCTCTCGAAAGTCACATCTCATATCACATTGGAGGACACACACTGGAGAAAAACCCTATGAATGCAGTGAATGTGGTAGAGCCTTCAGTGAAAAGTCAAATCTCATTAATCACCAAAGGATTCATACAGGAGAGAAACCTTTTGAATGCAGGGAATGTGGGAAAGCTTTCAGCAGGAAGTCACAACTCATTACACATCACAGGACTCACACAGGAACGAAACCCTATGGATGTAGTGATTGTAGAAAAGCCTTCTTTGAGAAGTCAGAGCTCATTAGACATCAGACAATTCATACTGGAGAGAAACCCTATGAATGCAGTGAATGTAGGAAAGCATTTAGAGAAAGGTCAAGTCTTATTAATCATCAGAGAACCCATACAGGAGAGAAACCCCATGGATGCATTCAATGTGGGAAAGCTTTCTCTCAGAAGTCACATCTCATATCACATCAGATGACACACACAGGGGAGAAACCCTTTATATGCAGTAAATGTGGGAAAGCTTTCAGCAGGAAATCTCAGCTTGTTAGACACCAGAGAACTCATACAGGAGAAAAACCTTATGAATGCAGTGAATGTGGCAAAGCTTTCAGTGAAAAACTAAGTCTCACGAATCATCAGAGAATTCATACAGGAGAAAAACCTTATGTATGCAGTGAATGTGGGAAGGCCTTTTGTCAGAAGTCACATCTCATATCTCATCAGAGGACTCATACAGGAGAGAAACCCTATGAATGTAGTGAATGTGGAAAAGCCTTTGGTGAGAAGTCAAGTCTTGCCACTCATCAGAGAACTCACACAGGAGAAAAACCCTATGAATGCAGTGACTGTGAAAAATCTTTCTCCCAGAAGTCACAGCTCAATACTCACCAGCGAATTCACACAGGTGAGAAACCCTATGAATGCAGTTTTTGTAGGAAAGCTTTCTTTGAGAAATCAGAGCTAGTTAGACATCAGAGAACTCATACAGGAGAAAAACCCTATGAATGCAGTGAGTGTAAAAAAGCCTTCAGGGAGAAATCAAGTCTCATTAATCATCAGAGAATACATACAGGAGAGAAACCTTTTGAATGCCATGAATGTGGCAAAGCCTTTTCTCGTAAGTCACACCTCATACCACATCAGAGGACCCATACAGGTGAGAAACCCTATGGGTGCAGTGTATGTAAAAAGGCATTCTCTCAGAAGTCACAGCTTGTTAATCATCAGAGAATTCATACAGGAGAGAAACCTTATCAATGCAGTGAATGCCCAAAAGCCTTCTCTCAAAAATCACAGCTCATTAATCATCAGAGAACTCACACAAAAAAGACATGCTAGAAAAAAATGTAACCAATATGAGCCTTTGACTGAGATCATACTTCATTGTACTGCAGAAAGTGCAGTTATGGTAAAAGTTTCAGATACTAGTCACACCATGTTGTATGTCAGAGAACTCCTTTAGGGTAGCAGCTCTATAAATAAGGCTATGTAGGTTTCAGCAGCTAAACATACTTAAGTGTTAGAACTCAGTAGAATGAGCTTATGAATGCACTGAATTTCAAAAACCTTTCAAACCATAGTCAAAGCTCACACAATGGAAAATTTCACCGTGAAGAGAAATCCTGTGAATCCTGTAAATAGCAGTAAACCTTTCAGAGGTCAAATCTTATTAGCTGTTGGAAATATTTCCACAGATATAAATTCTAGTGCTTTGAGTGAGGGGATACCTCATAAATGCAGCAAGTGAGGCAACATCTTGAAGAGATTACAGTTCATTGTACACCAGAAAATGCCCTCAGGAATGAGATTATATGAAAATACTAAATATGGGACTATCTTCAGCAAGTAAACCAGCTATATTGCATATTGGGGAATTCATATTGTGGAGAAACCTATCAATTTAAAGACATTGAAAACATGTTCTAGAGAGAATGCTATAAGGGAAGCCATATACTTTTTATTGACATGAGTACCAAAAATACCCAATTCTAAATAGTTAACAGGTGTCCACTCTGAAGTATGAAGCTAATAAAATATATGAATAAACTGAGTCATTGAAATATCTGAATAAGAAATTTCTTAGTGATATTTATGGCTTATGTTCCTGTGTCACATAATATGTTTCATATTTTGGAATTGCGTATGATAATGTAATTGGGAGCAGTTGCTTTGTAGTGCCTCTGATGTCTGTCAAGACACACTTTGTGCCACTGATTTATCTATTTTAACAATGCTATAAGAATGGTAGTTGATATAACAGGGCTTATTGCTAAATAAAGGAGCCCTGGTGGCACATTGATTAGGCATTTGGCTGCTAACCAAAAGATTGGTGGTTTGGACCTGCCCAGCATCTCTTTGGGAGAAAGACCTGGCAATCTGCTCCTGTAAAGATTACAGCATAGAAAAAAGCTTATGGGGGCAGTTCTCTGTGACATGGGGTCACTATGAGTTGAAATCAACTCGACGGCACCTAATAACAATAACAACGTTGCTAAATAAGTAGTCTATAAATACCACATCCTTTTTTCCTTATCGTTTTATGGCACATATAACGGGTCTGTTTTTATTATTGGAGTCTCTGGGTGGTACAAATGGTTAACACACTTGGCTGCTAACCCAAAGTTTGGAGATTTGAGTTCACTGAGAGGCTCCTTGGAAGAAAGGTTTTGCAATCTACTTCTTAAAAAGTCAGCCATTTAAAATTTTGTGTAACACAGATCTTCTTTGACACACATGTGGTTACCATGAGTCAGATCAGCTCAACGGCAACAGGTTTTTTTGTTTTTCTATTTTTTTTATTGCTGTTACTGACCTTTCTCTTCAGTAATAGAAGCCAAAACTATACAAAGTCTTACATAGTCTCAGAGTCTAAGAAACTGTTTATATAAAACACTTAATAAGCACGCAAAGGCAAGAACCACAGAATATCAATACTTGTACATGATACAGAATAAGCAAAAGATGATAAAGTAAATGATAGTAAATAGTGCTGTGCAACATCTTTTTCTCTTTTAAAGTGAGACACCTTCATTCAAGTATGTATATCAAATATTGTGTAGCCCAAGTACAACTGTATGTTAATTTAGTGTGATGAAATATCATGGATACTGTGTGCGGCTATTATGTTCTTAGTGTTTCATAAGATATTTTGTAAGTGAAAATTATTTGGAGAAACCCACTTAAGAGTCACTGTTCAGAAAACTGTAAAACAGAGAATTTTGTGGCGAGAAATATATTTTTGACATAGTCAAGGAAGCCTATTTTGCCTTCCTGCAAATGTAAGTATGCTTCTCGTTGAAAATACATGAACCGTTTCTTGTTAAAATTTTTTAGCATTTGCTTTATAATGTTTCTTGACAAAGTCAAAAGTATTTTTTGTATGGTGATGAAATTCAGAAGAGTTCAACATGAAGCTTGATTTTCAACCCAGAAAAATCAAGCTTTTCCTCTAGTGCACAAATTGTTATATAAGTATAGTGTGTTGCACCTTTGATTCTGTCAGTATTTTTTCCTTCAATTCTGCAACATTGTTGAGAGGTTGGTATTTTAATTGAGAGTAATTTTCTGAACCAACATACCAGGGTTTTATAGCCAAATAATCCTGTTTATCCACATGGTAGTGTTTGAAGGATTCAATTTTTTATTTATACTCCAAATTATGATTTTCCTGTTTTTCTCCCTAATATCTGAAACTCATTTTACCAGATGGGGGAACCAGAACATTGTGAACGACCAGATAGTTACAGGGCAATATTCTTTGTCCTAGTTTGTGTTTTTAATTTTTTCCCAGTTTTTCCTTCCATCATGAATCTCTTCCTTAGGCCCAGAGATTGATTCAATCTTGGATAAAGCTCAGGAATCTATGTTTAAAATTTTTCTAATCTTCACTCCGATTCTACATTATTCCATTAACTATTAAGCAGTTAAACCTATTACTTCCTTCATGGATAATGAACTGGATAATGTTCCTGGATAATGGAACTTTGGCATTAACCTATAGATTAAATACCGAAGAGCAAACTGTTGTTTTTCCAGGCAGGTGTTGGTCATAAGAGAGGGCCGATGTTGACAAAGAATTCTAATAGAATGATCTGAGCTGATTTGAGGAGCCAGATAAATCCTGTTGAACCCACTGGTAGCCTCTCCATTCTAAAGTCATGACAGTGCTCTGATTCTGCAAATAGAGATTCTTAATGTTATTTATTGAAATTACCTTGGTAAACCACAAAAACGTCCCCACCTTTCTCTTCATTGATTCCTATGACAAACTCCACATCAAGAAGAAAGCCAGTTTTTTCTTTTTTTATTGCAGTGAAAATATACACACCAAACATCTGTGAATACAACTTCCACATTTACAAATCAATGACATTGATTACATTTTTCTTGTGCCACCATTATCACTATCCTCATTCAAAACATTGCACCACCATTAAGATAAACTCAATGCTCCCCAAACAAAAACTCCTTTCCTCCTCCCTCCCACCCCTGGTAACTATTAATAATCATTGGTTTGTGTATATTTGCTTTTTTTTCACATAGATGATATGGTGTTTGTCCTTTTGTGACTGACATCTTGCTCAACATGTTTTCAAGGTTCATCCATGTTGTGGTATGCACCAGAATGTCATTTGTCTTTACAGCTGCATAATATGCCATTGTGTATATATATACTACATTTTGTTTATCCATGCATCTGTTGGTGGACATTTTGTTTTTTCCCACCTTTTGGTTATTGTGAAAAGTTCTGCAATGATCATTGGTGTACAGGTTTCTGTTTTGTGTTCCTGCTTTTACTTCTGGGTGTATAATGAGTGTTGGGATTGCTGAGTCATATGGCAATTCTACATTCAAGTGTTTGAGGAACCACAAAACTGTTTTCCATAGTGGCTGCACCATTTTACATTCCCACCAGCGATGGATGAGGGTTCCAGTTTCTTCACAGCCTCGCAAACACGTTTTTCCCCCCTGAGGTGATAACCTCATTCTGATTTTGATTTGCATCTCCCTAATGGATATGAGTTGGAATCAACTCTACAGCAATGTTTTGTTTTTTTGTTTTTTTTTGGTAAACAGCTAATGATGTTGAGCATCTTTCCATGTGCTTGTTGGCCATTTGAATATCCTCTCTAGAGAACTGTCAAGTCCTTTGCCCACTTTTTGATTGGGTTGTCTTGTTGTGGTTAAGTTTTAGAAGTTTTATATGTATTTGTTTATATTAGGACTTTATCCGTTACATGGTTCCTGAAACGTTGGAAAACCAGTGTTAATATTAGACCATAGTTTGTTATGATTTTGTGAAGTTATATTGAGATAGAGTACTTAATGAGGCCAACTGTGGCTCATCATCTAGGTTCTTCCACTTACCTGAAGATGTGCACCGTTCTGAACGGGTCAGTTTACATTGTATTCCTTTTACTAAGTAATGGGTTTTTTGAGGTTCACTTTGTGAATTTTGAGATCTGTCCCAGGGATGCCTTTTGTTCATCTTTTCTGTGTGTGCTCTTGGTATTTTCTGACACAGTTATGTGTGTATGGATCCATGTGTTCCTGATCTTTTGGTTTCAAGAAGATCACTTATAGAACTCTGAGATGAAATGAACCCAAAGAATGCCACATTTATCTAACAGTACCTTTATTAAATAGAATGTAGATCAATAGGTATTTGTAATCTATACTTCGAGACCACAGTTTTTTTTTTTTTTATTATTCTAGCAGTATGAACCTAGATTGTCAATTTCAGCGGGCTTGTTAGTCTACAAATATGGTACCAACAAGCTTTCAGATGTCCAACTCCTAGAACTGGCTTAAGTGCAGATGAACTAATCCATGACACTTGCAGCTGCTTGCGTATTTTTTTGTGCCTTCGTTCTTCCATTGTCCATTTTTCCACACCTGTACGTAATGATTATTTTGAAATTCAATTCTGATTACACACTCTCCTGTTGAAATATTGTGTGGCTCATTGTGGACTTAAGTGTAATCTTGTTATGGCATGCAAGGACTTTTATGCAAACCCATGCCTATCTCTTCATCATTTCTGAATTCCTTATCTTTCCTCCTACACAATATTTTCTGTCCCCATTGACCTACTTACAGTTCCTTGAGATTCCTACAATTTCTTATGCTTTTGAATATCTACTGCAACTGGAATGATTTGTTCTTCCTAGAAATGCCTATTCAACCTACATGAACCTGTACATATATTTCTCACTCTGATAATACAGTCATTGCATGTGTTATACTTTCTTTTCGAAAGTTTCTTGAAAGCTAGGACAACTTATCTGTGTATATAATTTAGCTGCCTGTTGCTGTGTTTTCTACCACGTGCAGAAACGTGGTCTGCAATAAGAGAAGAAGGAAACCATCATGGAAGCAGAGTCAGGGAACTGTCTTGATTTCTAGATTCATCTTTGCCCTCTTCATGCCTTGATTGTTGAATTCTTCTGGGATACCCCAAATATCCTAATAAATTCCCATTTTTGCTTCAGCTGGTTTAAATTGTGTTCCTTACAATCAAAATATTCTTAACCAATACAGAAACAGGCATAGTCACAGGTTGGGTTCTGTGGAAGCAATATGAGATGAAGTTTTGGGTGTTATAGATTGAATTATGGTCCTCCAAAAATGTATGTTGTAAATCCTTATCTCTATGCCTGTGGTTATGATCCTATTTTGTAATGGGTTGTCTTTGTTATGTTAACGGGGCAGGATTAGTGTAGGGTGTATTTTGAGTCAATCTCTTGAGATATTAAAGAGATTAAACAAGCGAGCAGACCAGAGATGGGGGAAGAGAGATGCCAAGCCACATGAAGATGGCCCAGGAGCAGAAGCTCGGAAGAAACAAGGACCTTCATCCAGAGACAACAAAAGTGAAAGCGTTTCCCTAGAGTCGGTACCCTGAAATTTGGACTTCTGGCCTCCTAAACTGTGAGAAAATAAATTTGTTTCTTAAAGGCATCCACTTATGGTATTTCTGTTATAGCAGCACTAGATAACTAAGACAGGGTGCAAGATGTTTATTACAGATCAGCACCTGTGAGATGATGGGATAATAAATAGGAAACAGTTGAGCAGAGGAAAAAGTCAGTGTTGTAGGTTGACAAAACCTTGGCCAAGCTATCATGAGCTCTGGAGTGAGTATAGCTCATCAGGTGTCTCATTATCAGGCCAGAGTGGTCAGGCCTTTATAACCCTGCACCACTCAGTCACTAGCAGCAGGCTGCTACGAGAAGGGAGGAACCTCAGGTGAAGCAATTCTCTGCTGAGGCCGACTCTGAAAAAGCTGACAGCTGGAGGTTGTCTTCTGACCACTCTCCCTACAGCTGGGCAGTCAGTCCTTTGAAGAGGGATCTGTGTGATGCAGCTCCTTGTCTACCACAGTCTGTGTCTTCCAATCCTTACATCCACTTTTCCGTACTACATTTGGGGAGCTGCTCCTCTAGGAGTCTGGTGGCCTCTTTCTGAGGGGAAACCTGAAAAAGGAAGGTTAGTAGGGCAAACTACGCTGTTCCTGCTGCACTTGTTTTCTCTCTTATCCATTCTACAGTCTCCTCACATCCAGTTATCACCTTTGCTGGCATCAGTGGCTTATCTCGTTGCATTACTCAGATCCTCATCGTCTCGTTTGACTATTCAAGGTACTCCAAAGGCCCAGTGGAATTTTTGACAGCATGAGACCCACAAAAAATGGCATTTGGGGAAACAAGGTTAGCATAGTCAGTGAGGAGTGTAATATAAGAAAAATTTGAAGATAGGGGTGAGATGATGCAATCTTGTGGAGCACATTAAGAAATTTTGCCTTTATATAAGAGCATTCAAGATCCATCAAATAATACGAAGCAGAGAAATGACATGATCAGAATAGCTTTCATAAACATCAGGCTAACTTGTGTGTGAAGAAAAGATTTGGGGAAATGGATGTGGTATAGTTATGGCAAGATTCCAGGTGAGAGATGATTCAAAGTTAGTTAAGAACACATATCAGTCTCAACATGTCCCAAAACAAATTCATTTTCTTCTTTCCTAACTATCCTTATTTTCCCTTGTTATCTTAATGAAATGGTTAGTCAAGAGATTTGGGCAAGTCATCTGTGGTATAATTGGAAGTTGAAGTTATGAGAGTGTTGACATAGCATTAAAGAAGCTCTAAGGAGTGAACTGGAAATATTTCATTCAAGCAAGAACCTAATTCTTCTTTCCCTCTTATCTACCATATCATCATCAGGTTCTAAATTGTTTCTTGAATAAAATTTTCTCCATTTCCTCTGCAGTAGTTCAAATCATAGTCTGGCGAATACAGAACTAACGCTGTCACTGGCCTTCTTGGCTTAAGTCCTTCCTTTCAATTCACCCTTAACACTACACACTACAATGCAAATGACTGTCACACTTTTTAAAACTCTTCAGTGTCTTCCCCTTGCTCATTGAGTCACATCCAAGTTCCTTCATGAAGCCTTGCTTACTTCAGCCTCATTTATTTCACACCACCTCTCCTTTGCCCTCTTTTCACCAAGCCATTTTTTTTCCCCTCTCATCTTTTTTATTGGACCTTTTTATTCCTTGCCTCTAAGTCTTTTTCATAAACAGTTCTCTCCGCTTGGAACAATATTCCCTGATTCAGTTGGCCAACTACTAAATCTTCATGTTTTTATATACAGTGAAACCTGCGAGAGCCGGAACTCAATGGGACTGCCTTTTTTTCTGATCCCACAAGATTTCCACCTTTGATATGGTGCTGTCTTAACACTTTCTATATCGCTGGTTTTAGTGGAAAATATTTTGAGTTTTCCTTCTCTGACAAGTTTCTGCCTTTCTCTGACAGGTTCCGGCTTTTCCAGGTTTTACCGTACAATAATTCCTCTCCCTTTCTATCGCATTCGGACTCTGAGCTCTTCGAAGACATGGACGTTTCTGGTTTGTTCTCTAGATCTTCCCCTATGTGCCCTGGATATGCCAGGCACAACGCTGGAAGGGAAGGTAATTCAGATTCCTCCTTCTGGAGGGCTTTAGGGCGGGTAACAGACCCGGAAGAGATTAAGGGGGCAGCTTCTCCAGCACACAATAGCAAACGAAGCCATCCCAGAGGCCGCGTCCTTTGACTATTGTCGAGTTGCTCAGGCATCAGGGTTCACGTAAGAGAAGCGTTCCTCTTCCGGCACCGGGGTGGAATCTTGGCCGCTCACAGGGCTGCGAGGGATTAGGGGAACTGTAGTTCTCCGAGGTCCTTGTTTCGAGGCGCTGAGGGAGCGAGGAGGGGATTCTGGTTATTGTAGTTGCCTCAGGACTGAGATTTTTGTCTCAAGGTGCTAATGCTACGTTAGTTCTCGGAACTGTAGGTGTCTAATACCAACTGCTGTTGCCTCGACGCCCTTTGAGAGGACCCGCTAGGAGTTCTGGGAATTGTAGTTATCTGAGAGTGGCGCCCTGCATCATAAGAATGGAGGCTGCGGTGGATTCAGGGAATTGTAGTCTGAGGCTTGAGCCCATTGTCTGCAGTCGCAGTGGGCGCGGCCCCAGGGCTTTCTGGGAGTTGTAGTTTTCAAGGTGGAGCCGTACTTTCTAGCGTGGAGGCTGCGGTGAGTTTTGGAAACCGTAGTTGTCTGATGCGGGCAGTTAGTGTCCCGAGGTGCAGTGGGCGCGACCCCGGGGCGTCCTGGAAGTCGTGGTTTTTCTGAGGGTGGAGCCCTTCGTCGCCAGGGGAAGACGGCAGCGCTTTCTGGGAGTTGTATTTGTCTGAGGGCGGAGCCCTATGTTCCATGCGCGGAAGTTGCTGTGGCTTCTGGGAACGGTAGTTGTCGCCGGCTGCCGGGCACGTCTCCAGTCGCAGTCGGCGCGGTCCCGAGTCATTCTGGAAGTTGTAGTTTTCCGAGTGTGGGGCCCTTCGTCCTTAGATCGGAGGCCGCGATACCTTCTGGGAATTGTAGTTGTCCTAGGCCAGCGACCTTCGTCTCCGGGAGCTGTCGGCGCGGCACCGATGCATTCTGGGAGTCGTAGTTTTCTGAGGGTGGAGCCCTCCGTTTCCAGCTAGGAGGCCGCGGTGGCCTCTGCGAACTGTAGGTGTCTGAGGCCAGAGGCCGTTGTCTTCAGGCGATGTTGGCGTGGCGGCAGGATGTTTTGGATTTGTAGTTGTCTGTGAATGGAATCGTTAGTCCCAAGTGCAGTGACCGCCTGTCTTTATGAGAATTGTAGTTGTCCTAGGCTGACGGCCATTGTCTCCAGGCACAGTCGGCGCAGTCTTGAGGCGGCCTGGGAGTTGTGGTTTTCTGACTGTGGGACTTTCGGCCCAAACAAGAACGGTCGCGCGTCCTTCTGGGAGTTGTAGTTGTCTGGGGGCGGGTGGCCTACTCCAGCAGCTCTCCTGGGCGGTCTGGTTCCGAATCCGGTCCCTGAGCTCCCGAAGGCGCAGTCCTCGCGACGCCGGCGGTGGGGTCCTTGGGCTGCGGAGCCGAGAGTCTGGCCTGGTTTGGGCCCGAGTCAGGTAATGAAAGCTCTCTCCGCGCCCTGCGCTCTCGGCCGGCGGTGACAGGCCTGTGGGCCCGGCCTGTGCCGTGGAGCACTTCGGGGATCTGGGCCAGTGACTCTGTTCCGAGTCCGGAAATCCTGTGCCAAGAGTAAGGAGGAACCGCGGCGTCCTGTGACCGCGACTAAATGCGGAGGTACTGGGAGCGCTGGCCTGGTTTACGCTCCGCAGAGCCCGCGCCGTGGCAAGAACGGAATGGCCGGAGTCTGGCGCGATGCCCCACCTGGCGCCCCGGGCCGTTCTGGCTCCCCGACTCTGTGTGTGGTGGGGGTGTCTGTAACGAGAATCTCCAGTGAGGGGGAACACAGTGCCTCGTGCACGGCCAAGATGACCTGCTCGCTCATGTTTCCTTTCTCTCCCTGCCAGCTGTGCCATTTTAGATTTTGCTGTTCTCCTCGGTCACTTCTGCGAGCCATGTTTCAGGTAAGCTGGTGTTTCCTCTTCTTTCTGAAGTGACGCCTTATTTTTCAAGACTTTGGATATATACTTTCTTTCTCCTGAAACTTCTTGCCTGACACAACCCCAGCACTCTGCCCCGTTTCTTCTTTTCAGGTGCTTGTACACAGGAGCCTGACGGAACGCTGTCCAGACATGGGTGGGCTTCTGACATGGCATGCTGTCTCCTCTTTTTCCCCAATATTGGAATGAGGACTGCTTTACTTTATGTCACTCACACTAACTACACTTCAGTCGTTTATTCAACAGGTTTTTATTATCTACTTTTATTGAGCACTTGTACCAGTGATTCCCAATGTGTGATCCCTGAACCAGCAGTATCAGCATCACCTCAGAATTTATTATAAATGCATATTTTTGAGCCCTACCCCAGACCTTCTGAATCAGTCTCTGGGGATGTGGCCTAGCAGTCTGTGTTTTAACAGTTCCTCCAAGTGATTTCAATGTATGATAAAATGCGAGAACCACTGACCTATCTTAGGTCTTGGGGTGCAGCAGTGAGCAAAACAAAATCTCTGAATTCATAGAGGTTTTCAGATATGACATTAAATTTCTTTAGCAAAGAGCACTATTATTTTGTTTGCTTGGAGCTAAATGCCTGGCTGGCCACCATTCCTCACTGGGCCAGGATAAGAGGATCAATCATTCCAAATTAGTTCTGTCTTTAGCTCCACCTCTCTATCCTACCTTTTGTCATACTTGTCTCCAATTCCAGAGACTCTTGAGTTTTGCTGGGGAGTCCAATGTCCACCTCTGCTGTAGATCTGACTGTTCAGTTTAGGCAACAGCTTCATTATCAGTCAATGATCTTTGATTGCTTTTTTAAATTCTAAAATTGTAAAAATAACTCTGCCATACACCCGGTCTATTACTGGTTTGGGATCTCTTAAGTTCTTTTTCATGTCTTATAAATCAGGTGGGTAAACCCAGGTTGAAAAGATGGGGCCTGTTTATTTATTGTTTCTCCTAACCCTGAGGGAAAGCCCTTTAGATTCCACCCTGGGAAGTATTATGTTCTCTCCTTAGGAGGTCCTTTCACTTTGCTGTTTTTTCTCCTTATTCTGTGATATCACTAAAAATGCCACAAAGTTTCACAGCTATTTCCTTAGGACTGGGGACAATTGTGACAAACTCTAGAGTGTATGTCCCATTGGAAAGGTGCTGCTGCTATCTGCTCCATCCTGTTGTTACCATGAAGAAATTCTGACCAAATCACATTAAAATAGGCTGGCATTAAAGAAAACATATACTGCATATTAAATACAAAAGAATAGTCTTCACTCTCCATGAAGTGTTATAACATGTTAAGACTTTTTACAATCAAAGCTAGAAGTCCATGTTGTTCTTGTGCATAATTTATTCTTTCTTACAAAATTGTAAATTATCTCAGGATAAATCACATATATTTTTTCTCCTTTTCTCTAGTTATATAACAAAACAAAAACAACTAGGCTTTTAGCTATATACAGTGATTATTTGACCAGCATTACTCAGAATTCAGAAATCTCCCACTGCCACTACTTATACTTGCTATCCTCCCTCTGCAGTGGGACTCATTTCATTCCTTGATCAGGGCCTTTTGGTGACATGGGTGCTATTGTGGAGATATCTGTATGTCATTTCAGGGGTCAGTGACATTCAGAGATGTGGCCATAGACTTCTCCCAGGAGGAGTGGGAATGGCTTCAGCCTGCTCAGAGGGATTTGTACAGATGTGTAATGTTGGAGAACTATGGCCACCTGGTCTCACTGGGTAAGTATTACCTCTAATCTTCCCCAAGTCAGAATTTTCCTTTTAGGCTGGTTGTTGTGAATGTTAGCTGGCTGAATTTTCCCAAGGATGGTATGGTTTTTTTATGAGTTTTTAAGATGAGGATTATAGCTTCATCTAATCTAAGTAGACATCTTTCATACTTATGTCTGACTTTTTTAATGGCCCCTCTTTTCTGAGGATTCAAGGACTATTTTGAATTCATTTCATTTTCTATAAGCAGGTCTTTCCATTTCTAAGCCAGATGTGGTTTCCTTATTGGAGCAAGGGAAAGAGCCTTGGCTGGGGAAAGGAGATGTGAGAAGAGATCTGTTTTCAGGTGAGTTAGAAGGAAAATGTTACAACCCAACTAGTCAGTGAGAAAGCAACACTTTGTATATGTTGGCTGAAAAGTTTTCTCTTAAAGATACCAGAAATATTGGAGGCTGGGAACTCTCATCAGTGGTAGCTCCATAAGGGACCACATCACACCTACTTACCAGTCTCCCCTCAACTCTCATTTTATACATTCCCTGCTTTCTCACAAATAGATGTGTCCCTCTTTCTTTTTATTGTTCCTTCTCTCTGGTCTTTGAATTACATATCTTTTTTGGTTCTCTTTTTATCCAAATTTGCATAATTTTAAAGTTAACAAAGAAAGCTAGCATAGCTATATTAATCTCAGACAAAATAAAATTTAAGACAAAAAACCTTACTAGAGATAAATAGGGTCATTTTATAATAATATTCAATGAACCAGGAAGATATAACAATTCTAAATATGTATATATAGCCTCAAAGTATAAAAATTGATAAAACTTGATTAAATGGGTATCTTTAAGGATTCGAATCATACAGATTATATTCTTTGATCACAATACAGTTAGGTTAAACATGAATAACAAAAAGATAAGTAGAAAAATTCCCACATATATCGAAATTAAGAATTATACTTTTTAACAAAAAGTAACTCATTGGACAAAGAATGAATTATAAAAGAAAATTAACAAATTCTTTTTTACTGAATTATAATAATACATATCAAGACTTGTATAAAGTAGCTAAAACATTATGTAGACGAAAATTATAGCCTTAAGTACTTACATAAGAAAAGAATAAAAATTGAAACTTACAAAGTAAGTATCCATTTTAAGGGACTGAAAAAAGAACAGCAAAATAAATCCCAAGAATGTAGATAGGCAGAAGTAGTAAAGATATAAGCAGAATAAATAAAATAGAAAAATTACAATAGTTTTCCCTCATTTTAGAATGTCTTTATTTAGCCTTCATTTTTGAGGAATATTTTCACTGAATATAGAATTCCCAGTTGACTGTTTTCAGTACTTTAAAAATGTTCCATTGCTATCTGGCCTTTAGGGTTTTTGATGAGAAATTCTGTTCTAATTCTCAGTGATATATAATTGCCATTCTGCTTTTATATCTTGAACCTGGTTTTCTTGGTTGCACTTTTTACTCATTCACCTGGGAAATCATATGTCAAATGCTATACTGAATCTATGCAATTAATTCCAACAGCTTTTTCTAATATCATTAAATGTCCACGTTTCATACTGTATTTCAGTTCCTAACTAGTTTCCTTGATGAACTCTTTCTAGATCAAACCTTTTTTTGTTTTAATCTGTTACAGTGGATTTTCGTATCTCTTATCTCTGATCTTTTATACAATTTTTCCTCTATAATAACTTACTCTCATGTCTCATATCATTAATTAAATTTCTTTTGTGTTCTCTTTGTCTTACTATTTATATGCTCAGCTTCTGAAGAGAATTACTCAGTTTATATCCCCAGGGTTCTTAATCAGGTGCTCAATAGATATGGAATTCATTTATGGAGAACTCACCATTTTCTTAGCTATTTCTACTTCCTTCCCAATACTAGTCTTTTGTGTCCCTAATATGTATGTTCATAGATACATATATATACATAGGTATAGATCTAGAATGAGTGCTGAGATAGTTATTAAATACACATCATGTCTATTTACTTCTTTGCAGAAGCTTAGAGTCAGGATGATATGAAAGATAGTATTCTCCCAAACAAAATAATAACTCTCTGTGTTTTAGAGAAAAATGAAAGTTTGGATGTCTTTGGAAATAATTTAAAATATACAGAAAAGGTATAAGAATACCTATATCCGTTTACCCACATTCACTTATTGTTAATACTTTGCCCCGTTTGCTTTTTCATTTGGAATATGATTTATTTTTTTAAACATTTTAGGTTAAATTGTATACATCATGGCCTTTACTCCTAAATACTTAAGCATGTGTTTCCTAAGAATAAAGATAACGAGGCAATATTTAAAAAGAAAGAAAGCAAAAAAACTTCATATTATAAAATTATGCTCCAAATGAAAAAATGATGAAGTCCATTCATAAAATTCAAACTGGAGAAATTAGGCCTAATATTTATCTATCAAAGGCATTTTTGGATAGACGCCATTACACCAAGACTGGGTTTCAGATGTGACTTTAGAAGGTACAGTTAGAGTAGCCTAGAAGATAGTTTTGAAAGTGTCTTAGGTCATTTAGTGCTGCTATAACAGAAATACCACAAGTGGATGGCTTTGACAAAGAGTTTATTCTTTCACAGTCCAGTAGACTACAAGTCCAAATTCAGGGCGTCAGCTCGAAGGGAACACTTTCTCTGTTGTCTCTGGAGGAAGTTCCGTGTCATCAGTCTTCCCTTGGTCTGGGAGCTTCTCTGCATAGGAGCCTCAGTTCCAAAGGATGCAATCTGCTCCTGGCACTGCTTTCTTGGTTGTATGAGGTTCCCATGTGTCTCTGCTCACTTCTTTTATATCTCAAAAGAGATTCGCTTAAGACACTATCTAATCTTGTAGACCTCATCAGTATAACTGCTGCTAATCTATCTTATTACATCATAGTGATAGAGTTTACAATACATAAGGAAATCACATCAGATTACAAAATGGTACACAATCATAGAATACTGGGAATCCTGACCCAGCCAAGTTGACAGATACTTTTGGGGGACACACTTCAATCCATGACACCCCACCCTTTGGCCTCCCCCAAATTCATGTCCTTGCCACTTGTAAAACATATTCACCCCATCATATCATAGCAAAAGTCTGAAATAACTCTAAGTCCAAAATCTAAAAACTCCTCTTCATCTGTGAAATCTAGAATACAAGTTATTGGCTTCCAAAGGTACAATGGTGCAACAGGTAGGCACAAGCTAGACATTTCCATTACAAATGGGAGAAAATGAAAGGAAAGAAGGCATAACAGCAAGCAAGTTAGCAGAACACATTACATTAGCCCTCAGGGCTTTGCAAAATAATCCTGTATTTTCTGAGATAACTTAGACAATGGCCCTGCCCTCCAGACTCTAGGTATTGGCCACACTCTCCAGATTCTGAGTGGAGGCCCCTCGACCCTGGGCTTCAGATCTGCCTTCCAGGCCCACTGGGATGGCAACTTTCCTCCCTTGGCTTTAGGCACACTGTTCTCCTAGTCCATTGGAGTGATAACTCCACTGTTAGAAACACCAGAGGCCATGGCTCCACTCTTTGAAACCCCAGAGGTCCTGGCCATACATTCTGAGACTGAGACAGCTTGGCTTCTTGTGTCCCTTGTCTCTTCAGCTTCGGTTTCCTGGTTCTTTGGCCTCTCGGCTCCTCGGGCCTCATGCCAACATCTGCCCTGCTGGGGCAAGTGTTCCAAAGCTCTGTAGCTCCCCTGATAAGTGCCCAGAGGCACCCAACTCTGCAGGAAGCCTCCTGCAAACAGGCACTCAGCTCTCTTGCTCCGTGAGTCGGCAAGCCTAGCTCCACTGATAAGTGCCCAGAGGCATCCTCCTCCACCAGAAAGCCTCCGGTGCACAGGCATTCAGCTCTCTAGCTCCGTGGGTCGGCTCCAGTGCCATCCTGTGCTGGTCTCCCGATTCTGCTGCTGCTGCTTCTCTGCTGCTCCTCTATCCATTCACAGTTTCAAAACCACTTCCACATTTTAGGTATCTGTTAGAGCAGCACCCTACTCCGAGTACCAAATTCTGTCTTAGTCATCTAGTGCTGCTATAACAGAAATACCACAAGTGGATGGCTTTAACAAAGAGAAGTTTATTCTCTCACAGTCCAGTAGGCTACAAGTCC